AATTTTCCTACATTCATGGTTCTCACATTCCATGTCCCAATCACCAGTGTCTGCTTACAACTGTTTCTCTTCCTTTGTATTTCCATACTTGAAAACTCAACCTCCTTTGCCATTTCTGTTATCTAAATGTGTTCTGTTGTACATAGGGTTTTCAGAGGCCTGCTATTTCAGAACACGTAAAAATAATACAATAAAAATTAAAAAATAATAAAGTAACAGTACCACCCAGGGACCACAATTCCATGTGAAGGAACTATCCAGTGGAGAGAACCCGATATCCATGAAAAGCTACATGGTAGAAATCATCATTCACCTGCTAGCAGCAGCACGGTATGTGGCAAGTGCTTTGGAAAATGGCCTGAAAGTTCTACAGTTACAGATACTCTTAACAGTGCTGTTTCTTTGATATACTCGAGGGCAATGGAAGTAAATGTCCACACAGAAAGGTGTATGTGAATGTCCCAGCATTATTCACTATAGCTGGATGGTAGAAACAACTTACATGTCTATGGACAGAGAAATGAATAAACAAGCATAGTCTATACATGCAATAAGGGTATTATTCAGCCATAAAAAGAACATGAAACACTGTCACAACACAGATGAACTTTAAAAATACTATGCTGAGTGAAAGCACCAGTCAAAAAGATCGCATGCTGTACGATTCTATCTACATACACAGTGTGTCCACAACAGGCAATTCTAGAGACAGAAAGTAGATCTGTGGTGGTAAAGGGATAGAAGCCAGCAGAAAACAGCTGCTAATGGGCACAGCCTTTCTTATGGGGGTGACAACTGTTCTAGACCTAATTACTGGGATAGTTGCATAATTCTGTGAATATATTAATACCAATGAACACCACAATCTAAATGGGTAAATGGGTGAAACATACTATGTACAATGTATTTCAACAAAGGTATTCTTTTAGAATAAGCAATATAGATGAGTAGAAAGTGGAAGAGAGAGAAGGACGTATTCTGGAAACTTGTAACATTCATATTCTCACCTGGGTTTTTTAACTCCACAAATGTTTCACGTGAAAAACTGCAGACTTGTATAATTGTGTAAAAAATTTTTTATATATTATAGTAAAAAGCAAATCATATGCAGGGAGCTCTGATGGTCTAGTGGCAAGAAGCTGCACTGCAATCCCAGAAGTATGCAATTCAAATCCACCAGATGCTCTGCTAAAGAAGGAGGGGCAATCTCTTCCTGTACCAGTCAGACCCAATTTGATGGTACACACACAAAAAATAATAAAATAAAAAAACAAACCATATGCATTATCATAAAATTTTAATTGCAATAATCAGATGAAATTTAAAACCTAGGGAGCACTGGTGGCCTAGTGGCAAGAAGTTGCACTGTAATCCCAGAGGTACGTGGTTCAAATCCACCAGATGCTCTGCTGGAGAAGGAGAGGCAATCCCCTCCTGTACCAGTCAAATCCAATTTGATGGTACATAATAATTTAAAAAATTTTTTAAAACCCCCAAATCTTCCATTAAAAAAACCACAGCAAAAAACAACCAAACTTAAAATCTAAGGCTAAGATTACAAGGGGCACAGGAGAATTTGGGGACAATAAGGAGCTGCCTAGATCTTAACTGTGGTGGGTAATGTGCTCGCTCACAATAGTGAAAGAGTGAATATTGCTGTTTGTAAAATATACTTCAAAAATTCTGGCCAAGAGGAAAAAGGACAAAGATGAAGTATCAGTGGGTGGGAAGTTGTGATACCCTGCCAATACTGGACAGGATGTTTCTGAAAAGAAGCG